GTTAAGATCTTTTTTGTATAAACAGTTTCATGACGAGAATTAGAATCACCCATAATGTCAGGATCTTCAAGAATTTGATCAGATTTCCACATAAAAATATCAATACCATTTTCTTCTAACTTTTTTACAATACTACGTCTTTTTTGTTCACGTTCAAGTTTAGAATATTTTTGACCACTTGAAGAAATCACAGGAAATAAAGTAATTCTTTCTTGTAATTTTTTCATAGTAGGTAATAAATCAGGAGGAAAACTAGTGTAATCGAAAGGTAAGAAGACAACACATAAATCGACCAAATTAGAGTCATTATCAATAATTTCAAATTGTTTTCTCAAATATTCGAAAGCTTTTTCATGAGAGCCATTTGTGAAATCAGCCTCACAAAGAGCAACACCAGAATCAGGGTAATATTCAACTTGAAGAGGCCTATTACGAACAGGACAAACGACAGATCTTTTTTCAAGTCTAATGTCAGCGGTTGCATTTGTATTCTCCACTTCGTCCCAAAAGATTTGGGATAAACTATCACAAAATTTTGAGAAAATTTTCTTTTTATACTCGTCAGAAGGATCCGAACCGATATACATGACACGAAACGAGAGAGGGAAACTGAATTGATAATGCTTGTAATTCCTAAGTTTTGAATAGCGTTGAATAGGAACATCGTCATCGTCTCTTAATTGATGAGAATCATCAATAGCATCAAAAGAATCCGAAGAAGCCTCAGAATCTTCTCCTTCATTTTTTGAGAAATGTAAAATTGGAAAAACTGAAATAATATAGAAAATAAAGAACAGAAGAAAATTCGAAATTAGGTAGAAATTAAAGACATACCTAGATCTTCAGTATCATCATCGTCAAAAGAATGAATATTACTAGATTGATCGGTTGCGTAAGAATCATTAACATTTCTCGGCGGACTGACAAGAACAAAATCTTGAGAAGAAGTTGTTGAAGATAAATCTGAAGAATGCGTTGAATCATTTAAAAAAGAAGTTGGATTCCTATTTGAAAAATCATTCTCATTTGTACCCGACGTCATGATGAGACTTCCAATAGATCGGAAAATCTTCCTTTAATAGGGAGCTGTTGTATTAGAAACGACAAACGATCGCTTTATTAACAACAGCATACTTAATAACTATTAAAGATTTACAAAATCATATTTATTATATAATAAACCTCTAAAATCAAAGATTTTTGGTCTGTCAAGATTTAGAATTAAGTAACCATGCTCGAAACTTTAACATTCGAAAGTATGTTAAACAGAATTCAGTAAGTTTATTTCTATACTTTACGACTCACATGTTTACTATTTTTTAAAGCACCAAAGTTTTCTAAACCTTACAATAGTTTATGAAGGCCAAGAACAAAAAGTTTTTTGCTACGGTCAAAAAGTGGAAAAATATTCTCTCTTTAAATACTACGTAGACAAGGTGGGAACTTAATAAGGAGATAAAAGTCCGACTTGTAAGCGTTTGCATATAAATGTACATGGCATTGAAAATCGAGCACCGATTATCACGTGATATACAATCATTATATGACTAGAAGATTCGTGTTAAAACAGGTGACGTTAACTATGCTAAGTTTCAAAAAAACAAATTATTAACGTAAACGTTATAATTAAAAATATTCATTTACAAAAAAACAAAAAATCTGTGAAGCAAAAGCAATATATTTTTGTCATATTTCATCATATTTCGTAGTTATTATTCAGATGTAATTACCAAACCAAGAATTGCGTAATAAATTTAAAGGCGAAACATTTAAGCACCAAAAAATATATTGAATCGAATTTCGTAACTCGTTTCTAATAAACTCGCATTTGGACATGTAATCACTCATCAGTTAACAAAGTTAATATGAATATTGATATCGATATAGTTTATTTTGTGTCTTAAGGTCCTAAAATTAAGGAATAACATAATAAATCATTGTTGTAATTTATTTAAATCATAAAAGTTAAAAATGGATTGAATTCGGAAATTGTTTCTTCAAAGATAGCAAAAAGGTAACCTAAGAAACGACAATGGTACGTACTAATTTTCTGCATGTGTTACCTTTGATATACAAGTTCCACATAATTGACCTCAATCATTTACCGGTGACAATAATAGATAATCTTTGATGAAAATCTCACCAGATGAAGTTAAGAATTTATAAGATTCCTTTAAAAAGATACGCATGTTGATCGTAGCGACCAGTATAAGTTGCCTTTAAGAATTTAAAGTGTACGTACCTATTTTTGGTAAAATTATAACCAAAGGGTCTGAGTGTAAATTTATGTCATGAGTACGATATGGATGACTTGTTCAAATATGACATGTTACACGACATATATTAAAGTACCTCAGAATTCTTGGACTACACCAATTTGAAATCGCTTTATACTTTACTGGTTGGTATCATACCTTAATTAAATCAAGCATAACCGATCTTTAAAAATTAGATAATCAATAATTTTTTGTTTTTACTAACGCAATACAATAACAAAATTTCTATAACAGATAACGATATATAGTTAGCGTCAGCGGACATGTCCAATGATCTGTATTAAGGTTGCCTGCCGTAATAGCAACCTTTCATCTCGAAGTTGTAATTTTTTGCCGTAATAGGTGTAATGGTTGTAATAGGTGTAATGGTTAATGGTTATAACGACTATAATGATCTGATTCTGCTAATAAGTAATTGCATGATGCAGACACGCTGAAACAGATAGTAATGAGTAACGAGACTTCTGTAACTTTGAAATTTCATAATTAATCTATATATTGATATAGTATTAAAATTCAAAAAAAAACAAATATGTAAACAAATACAAATATTCCGTGTTAAAAGTATTCTAACTTGCTTATGCAAGCACACAAATATGAGTACTTTCGTAGAAAAACAGGTTTTGCCTTTCGAGGTTCATTTAACGAACTTAACTAGAGGTGCTGGTGAAATTGATTTCACCAATTCAACACCAACTTCACCACTCTAATTTAATTCGCCAGCATCTTTAGACTCAACCCTTGGTAAATTCGATCATCGATAAAATGAAATAATAGCAATAGGATAGAATGTAATTATCAAATTTAGTTATGTATTAATTGGTCGGATTTTTAGGGCCTGAGTCATTAGTTATAAACTCAAAAACCAGAACCTGTACTGTTATTTGTTATTTATCGTTAAATTTGGTGTTAACATGTCTACAAGGACATGCAAGACAATTACAACCTATTACGGCATTTACAACAATTACAATTATAATCATTACGACATATTTAGGTTAAGCCACTAATTTCAATCACCGTCTGACGACTGTCATAAACTATTAAATTTAAAAACTTATAAATTCAAAAGTTGCTTTTTTTGATATTAACTAAACAAATACAGAATATAGTCAGACCTTTCTAAATGCATAGCCATGAGGCGGCCAAAAAATCTTGCATTTAGAGAGGTATTGCATTTAGGGGAGGTCTTTCATAGACTATGCATTTAAGGAATATGCATTTAGAGAAGTCTGACTGTATTTATATAAAAAAATTAAAAATGTTTAATTTTAAAATTAAAATAACGAAGTACTACATAAATATTCCTCTAATAAGAAAAGGAAAGCAAACAGTATTTCGTTTCTTAACCGTGCTAATTGTTCAACACATTCTTAAATGATTTTTTTTTTTTTTTTTACTTAATTCTACCTTTTTCGAATGAAGATAACTCAAAGTGTTGAATTATCCTTTCCACCATATCATTTATTCGTGAACTCATATTTCGTAGCACTTTTGATTGAACAGTTGCGACTAATATCATGAAAAATATTCGGGAGATTTTATTTTTGTTACATAATACTGACCTTTAAATTTGTCTAACGCGGTTCGTAATGTTTACCTAATATTTTGACAGTTTGAATTAATAACTAAAAATGAAGTGATGCAGAAAATATCGTTCTCTTCCATTTTCTTAATTCCATTTTATAAATTTTTTTAAAAAATATATCCAAGTTTGTATAACCTGCGAGGCATTTGAAGGACCTTTCATACTAAAAAAAATTTTATAAATTTTATCAAAAATTTGTTTCTTTTTTATCTTAGAAGTCGATAGGGTGATTTAAACCTTTAATTTGCACACTTATGTTAGATAAAAAAATTAATTTATAAAAAATCGCAAAAAAATAAAGAATAACAATCAAATCATTTTTTATATATTCAACTTTAACTTCGTAATCATAAGCCTTTTCAAATTACTAAATACAATTATGCTTAGATCAGTTCTAGGAGGTTGAAGTCAGTGGCTTAACCTGTCACAGATTACGGACGTGCGATGTTATGCAACTATCCCAGCAGCACATAAAATAATTATTTTATAATACCCGACCATTCCGCTAGTACATGTTATAATTATAATTCAACACCTGTTTTATTATAATAAATTATAATCATAACATGTACTAGCGGAATGGTCTGGTATTGTAAAATAATTATTTTATGTGTTGAACACATGTGGATTACATCAACGGTCTTGTAATTCGCAATGTCCGTAATTATTATTTACGGCCGGCAACCTTAATCTGTATATCCTATCAATATCGATACTAATTTTATCATCCTTACTAAATACAACACAATACAGTAATAAAAGTAATAGTAAATCCTATTAGATAATTTCTTGTATTTATTAAATGACAAAATATTCAATACAAATGGTCTTCTCGGTTTTATATTGTTCTCTTAACATTAATAAATTTATGAAATGCTCTAAAAGCTTTGGAGATTTGGTATTGGCTTTCATATTTGATGAAATCAGTATTAAAGAATCAAAAAATTTTCAGTATAGATTTATAAATATCTTTACAAAGTATGGTAAAAGATATTATACTTTTATTTGTAAACAGAATTCACATGTATTACATATCTATCCTACATGTATTCTGTCTAAAGCTGTAATTTCTCGTATTTTATTGATCCAGAAAACAGAAAAATCAATTCAATAGCAATACATAGATATTTTTATTTTTATTTTGCCTGGCCAAGTAAAACCATTTGCTGAATTTCATATAAGTCGATTGCAAAAGTAGCATTCATCAATGTTGCAGGAGGGGGAGGTAATGAAGTATATCCTATTGCAGGAATAGCTGGATCGTAAAATACGTCACTAACAGGGATTGTAATTACATAGTTGGGGTCGTTCAGGCCATGACATCCAGTGGGACCAGTAGGGGAACCATCTTTGTTTACAGTGCCAAATTTCCACTATCATATAAATATGTCTTTGAGCATCAAAAAAGCAGGGATGATAAATTTCTTTCTTAATTGTTCGCCTTACCTTCTGCTTCGGAACACCTTGCTGCCGGAGTATAGCCTAATATTTAAAAGTGAAATATATATATATAATTTATATAATAATGAAAACAAAAACCTTCATTGCCCGATCTCTTTTTCCTTGTGGGTTGTTGCATGTATTCATTACATTATAAAGTTTAATGCCTAGTACAGATCGTACGTACAGCTGCTGCATCCAAAGCTTGCATTTACGCTTCAAGTTGGAGCAAGTTTGGGCTATGGCTATCTCACAAATTATTCTTGCGTAAGGGTTTCCCTATATCAATTACTTTTAAGTGATAAAAATTTCCTATCTACCATATTAATATAATATGATAAATTAAAAGTACCCTTATATCACTGGGTGGCGGACCAGGATGGGGAACTGGAGGATTCGGACCATAAGTCTCATGTGGATAGACAGCGAAATCCGGTGCAATGCGAGTACCGTCTCCAGCTGGTGATTCATGAACTATATAAAAAGAATATGAGAAATATTAGAAAAAAGAACAAGTATTTAGAAGAAATTTACTTACGTGGTTGACCACGTAATTGTATTGGAGCATTAGAACTGATAGGGCTGTGAGCACCGAAGAACCGGTACATCAACGCAACAATAGCTTCATGTTCATTTGAGCACATATCAACTACATATACAGTGCTGTTGTTATATTCAAGTTTGTATCCACTTATCTCTTTGTTTTCGATAAAGAAGTTATAATCCTCCACGGACACGTCCGAGGCAAGCGGGTAGGGAAGACTGCAATTCATACGAGTCAACATTGTACAAATCTCAAAATAAACTATTGCGATGTCTACCTTGCCTCATCTAATGATTTGTTTGGTAAACGAAGTGTCTTTGACAAAAGTGCATTCTTAAGAACCTTGAGTGAATTATGAATCATTTTTTTTTTTTTTTTTACTGATTGATTGGTTTTTATATTAAAGATTACGATCACTTGACTTTTTTTTTTACAGGGGCATACGTGTTCAAAGTTTGTGTGAAGGTGAATATAATTATTTTGGCACAAAAAGTACAGACACGTGATAATTTTGTGGTGCAAACCAATCATATTTCAAGATCAGGTGTAATGTAACACGATCAGGAAAATTCAAAACAAACGTTTGCTCACCTTTGGTGCCTTAACAAACGCTAACCCTAACGTAAACGAGCTTGAAAGATTTTTTGGGATGCCATAAATACAGTTATGTGTTCATACTACATGTCACTCTCATTATAGTGAAGACTAATTAAAATCTCGATATAGTGATGTTAAGCTCAAAGCCAATCTATATAAAATCCTCTTGATATAGTGAATTTACTAATAAAGCTTTCGATATAGCGAATTTTTAAATAGAATAGATTACTTCACTATAACGAGAATGACTAGGAAGATGTGCAAAGTTATGTGGTCGAACTGCAAATCAGATTTCAAGATTAGGTGTAAAGTGAAATCTCAAAACAACTGTTCGTTTTGTCAAAAATGCTAGCTCTAACATTAATAAACTTCAAAAAACTTGTCTTTTTCTGTAAGTGATACAATGTTGACCACTTGCATTTTATTGTCATTTTGAAGATTGTAGCATGATCTGATTGTTTAATTAGATTTACACCTTGTTAATTGTCACAAAAAAATTGTTTTGCTCATTTTTAAAGAAAAGCAATAAATATAATAAAAGTATTTTTTTTTATAGTTGACAAATTAAATAAAGTTTTTAAAATTAAGTTCTTTTGTACAAAATTTATTTAAGGTAAAGTTATTTATTTTTTTTTTGATATTAAGGTGAGTATATATAATTTAGAATTTTATTAATAATAGGTTTCAGTTAATAATTGTTTGTATAACAACTACAAGGACAATTATAAAAAAAGTATACAACTAGTTATTTGTACAATTTTAGTTATTGTTTAATTTAAGTAGTTTGTTTAATTTAAGTAGTTTGTTTAAAGGTTTTATACTAGTTGTTATATTTAGAATTTGCTTATGAATTTTCTATTTAAATACTCTAGATTTTATAACTATTTTTATTTTTTTTATTTTAAGTTGTTATGCTAATATTTTATTAAAATTTTTAAAATTATACAAATTATATAATATTTAAGTTTATCATTATCCAATTACCTAAATAGTACCTAAATACAATCTGTTATACTATTTCAATTAGAAGTAAATTTTTTATCTGATTACTATTTTATAATAGAAGATTACTAATCTAATGATGTTTTTTTATAAAGAGGCAAAAAAATAAAAAAAATTTAAATATAAAAAAAAAACACAAAGGTATAAGAATAAAAAATAAAAGATACAAAATAAAAAATAAAAAAGAAAGATGATACATAAAGAAAAAAGAAAGTTATATTATTTACAAATATTAAACAATCATAATTATAAGTTTATATTTGGTTTTAAAAATTATAAATTATACTAAATAGAAATAACTCTACTATTTTTCTATTTACTTAAATTAGTTAACAAAAAATAAAAAAACTTTAACTTGGTTATAAAGAGTTAATTTAGAGTACTGATTAGTTTAAAGACAATATTAACTTATTTTTAATAGCTTGAAACACATATATAATTGTATTTGTATTACTATATTATTTTTGATCTATATTGTTAACAAACCTATTTAGTAAGTTAATCATTTTGATAATTTTATATATTGATCTTTAGAAGAAATAAACTAAATTATTTACTTTTTACAAAATTTTTTTTTTTAAAAAAAGTAAAGGTTATGATGAATCAACTTTATAGTTTTTGTAAGTTCTTGACTTTTTTAAATATTTCTTATAAATTTTATAATTATATAAAACTAATATATCTAACTTTATTATTTATTTAATAAAAAACTTTAATTTTTAATAACTATTTCTTTTATAGTTTTAGAGTATATTTAAATTGTTACTACAAAGTTATAACTTTTTTTCAACTTAATTTTAATATATAACTATCTGTATATAGTATTTTAAAAAATTTTTTATAAAGTTTAATATATTAACTATATTATTTTTTATAGTTTGAATTTTTGAAAAATTTGATTCAGATAATTATTAAAAAGATTTGTATATAACTACTTCTATTTTACTAATAATTTTATTTTATTTTTTAATATTAATAGTAAGGCCATAGAAACTCTTTCTGTTAATTATTTAAATACAAAAAATAGCTAAAAAAAAAAAGATTTTAGCCAAGTTAGCAATAAGAAACATTCTAAGTAGCTCTAAGCAGAAAAAAGCAGTAATATAGAAAGCAATAGACTAATAGAAGAAAAGGTTATCTGCAAAACTAATAGAGTAATTACTAAAGAAAAAACAAAAAACTTACTGAAAAACAATAGTAGTGAGAAATTGTCATTAGGCCTTGTAACATAGATCTGTTTATATTACACAAAAGACATGTAATAGTAAAATAACAACAGACATGTACAGGTTATCAAATTAGCATAAACATTACAAATCACATATTGATACATATAGAATTCTATATATAGATAAACAAAATAACAAAAAAAATCTAAAAACTAATCAAAAGTATATAGATATAAATAAAACATGAAATTAATGAAATATAAAGAAAGTCTCTTAACAATATTCATAAAAAGAACATACTGAGCAATGAATAGAATACATAATAAAATTTTTTTCAATTAGTCAAATAGTATATATGTAACATCAAACAGAGAAAATAAAATTATGATCATGCTTATAGAGCAAAGCCTAGCAGAAGTTGTACTATTAAGAAAAACTAAAAAATTAATTAAAAAAGCAAAAAGAGAACAACTAGAAAAGAAGCTTAACTTTACAGAAGTAAACAAAAACATAATAATGATTGAATTTGAAAGAATTTAAGAACAAGAAAATAAAAAAATAGTGCAATAAGAAATAGTCAAAAAAAAAGAAAAGCAAAAAAACAGATATGAGACAAAAAGAGAAATCAAAAGAAAAATAGAAAAAGACAATACAAGCAAAAGATGACTACAAAAAGAAAACTTTACTATAAAGAAAAAAGCAAAAATAAAGGTAAGTAATGAAAGTGTAGACCAAACAGAAGAAGAACTATTAGTGCAGAAAAAAGAATTAAGGAAAAAGCAAATAAGAACAAGAGAATATAGAAATAGATAATAAAGAATTGAGACAAGATTCAACATCAAAAAAAAAAAAAAAACAAAAAAGAAGAAAGCAGATAGTAAAAAGAGAAATAAATATAGTAAAAATTCTATTAGAAAAAAGCATATAGACACCAAGTAAAAGAAATTGCAACAAAGGCAACAGTCTATTTGCTAATATACTAGCATACAATGTGCTTAGAAAAACAGAAGAAGAACACATAAAGTTTATCAAATGGTTACTAAAAAACAATAAACATATTAAAAACATTAAAGAAATTTTTAAACAAAGAAATCTGTAGATTAAGGTAAACTTCAACAATAAGTATAATAGAAACAAAGCAATATAAAGAATAAGTAAAAAAGAAAGTGATTGGTACAAAATGATATCAAAAGAGAATAAAAAAAGAAGAAGAACAGAACAAAAGAAATACAATAATAAATACTAAAATGGAAAAGATGGCATAACAGAATATAAGAAAAAGAGTTATAAAAAAGAAGAAATTAAAGAAAAAAAAGAACATACAAATACTGAAGAAAAAGAAGAACATATAAATACTAAAAAAAAAAAAGCAAAAAATACAAAACATATAACAATCAGGAATCTATTAGCAGATATAAATAAAAAGAAACTCAAATACATCTGCAAAAGATTTAAAAAAACACAAATAATAAGAATTAAAAGTTTCAAACACAAGGCTCTTGCAATAATCCAAGTAGAAGAATCAGAAAAAAGAAGTACTCCTTGGTCTATACCAGTTAATAACTATAAACTGGTTAGAGTAACAGAAAGGAAAGAAGATTACAAAGCAAAACAAAAACAAAGACAGTATATAGCAAAATTAACAAAGCTGCCAAATAATGCTTTAGAAGTTCTACTATTATGATATTTAAAAAATAAAGGTGTAAAATCAGTGTACATTTTACTAAATAAAAATGGAAACCAAAAAAGAACTGCAATAATTTTATTTGCAATAGAAAGAGAAAGAAAAACAGTTTAATCAAGACCAATCATGTATAACAACTTTCATATATTCTGGTTAAATGAAAGGAAAAAAGAAGTTAAAAGAAAAAAAGGTTCTCAGGAAGAAAAGAAAGAAACTGAAACAGAATGACCCAAAATTCAAACAGAAGATTTGCAAAAATAGAGAAAAAAGACCTAGAGAATAGAAATACTGATAAAAGAAAAGAAAAAAACTAAAACAAAAGCAATCAAAACTCAAACAAGAGGCATATAGAAATAGAAAACAATTCCCAAATACAAGACATAGTAGAATAGTTAGATGATGGAAATATTAATACAGAGAAAGAAGATCCACAGACACAAAACCAAAACCTTCTGAAAAAAATCCTTGAGAGACTAGAGAGACTTGAAGCACAACAAAACAAAGTAAAATAGAAGACAGAAAAAGATGTTGCCAATCACTTTTAATAGTGTTACAGTTGAATCAATAAGCATAAACTAGAAGATCAGAGAGTTTTTGCACAGTGAAAAAAGAATTTTTGAAGAAAGAAATATAAAAGCATCTCCTAAATATAATAAAAAAATCCAAGAAAAAAGAAAAAAGAAAAGTAGAAAACATAGAAACAAGCCATAAATGTCTAAAAGAAAAATAGAAACAGGAAAAGAAGAAATTAAAAATAGTATATTACAACATCAATGGACTTAAAACCAG